GCCTTGCCAGCCCTAACTGTTGAAAAGGGGACGTTTGGCTGTCGCATTTCTCTTAACGTTTTTTCTCAAGTATTTAACTCAGGACCTTGCGCTAGCGAGGCAGGCGCGGTGCCACTGAACTAAATCCCATTACCTGGGCTTTAAAGAGAAACCGTAGTTTGGCCTTACCTACTACTGTGGACACAGTGCCCACGCCCCAGAACGTGATACTGTTGTATCATGAAAGGGTCAGTCTTTCCTCCTCAGTACCCCTACACTCATCACCTGAGTCAAAACAATAGCCAGTGGTCCAAGTATGTGTGTCTGCCTCCAACCCCCTTCCCTAGCTACCTGTGCTGAAACCAAGTGCCCGAGAGGTGAGGCCTTTAGGAGGTTGTTAGGTCATGAGAGTGGAAAGACCCTGGACCGCCTGTTGGCCCTTTCCACCATATGATATAGTGAGACTGACATCTATGAACCAGAGCTCACACCAGTCCCCCTCACCTGCCTTCTTAATCTTGGACACCCCAGCCTCCAGAATCGTAATTAATTTTGTTTATAAGCATCCGCTTTACAATTTGTTACAGTACTTCAAAGGGACTATGCCACCTAAAACACTATTATCGATGTGCCTTGTGCACATTACTTAAAATAGCTTTTCTGCATGCATTGCCTTCAACATTTGGCCATGGAGAAAAATCTTACATTGATGGTCTTCCTAAATCTAGTCAGCAGCTGTTTGGCCCCTATAATGTCAAAAATACAAAATTCTACCAATGCTTAAAAAGTGAAGTACCGCAAAAATTCAGCGTTCCAGTTGCTTTGGAAAATTCTAACATGGGAATACTAAGTTGGAAATGGCCACCTTTTGATAAACAATTCTCACTCACTCCAGTTTCCCATATACCCACCACACTCACTAAAACTTACACTTTCCCTGCTGTGATTATTCACCTAACCTGGGTGTTTTCCAATCGCAAGGAACTATGTTATAAAGGAATTCTCTTTTAACATAAAGGAAAAATCAGACTGAAACTCATCCCTTAACATATTATGATTTTCTAATAATTTTATCTAGCTACATTAAAATGTACATGATAGGATGCTGCCCTGGGTGGTGAGGGGCAACTGGGCTTATGTGAAACTGAGGTGTAGGCCTGTACAATATCCTCACAGATCTGTCTGTGGTTCCCAGCGCCCCGGCCTGAAAAGGAGGAGCAACCTGCCCAGAATCACTTGCAGTACAGGAAACAGAAGGCAATTTTCAATATAGAAAAACTCTACTGTGAAAATGGAGGAAAACTGGAATAGAGAAGAAAGCCAGAACATCAGAGTCTGAAAATGAAGCCAGATAAGGAAGAGCTAAAGGTGGAGGGCAAGGTAGCTTAACGTGTAAAGTCTGAGGACAAGGGAGAGCCACGTGATGAACAACTGGAAAATGAGAGAAAGCCAGAATATGGAAAATTAGAAGGTAGTAAACCACAAGGCAAGAGCAAGCCTGAACACCCCGGGTAATGGCAGTGAGGAAGCCCAAAGCTCTTGGCTGAAGTTATGTGTTCCAGAAAGGAAACAGAGAGGAGGGGAAGCAGATCATCCATCAAAGGACTCTCAGGAGGGCTACAGAAAGGTAATTGAGGAGTGAGCAGATGAGAGAAATGTTCAGATGTATTGAGGGCTCAAGAATTAAGAACAAAACAGAAAATAGGTGGTTTTTCATTGTCCCAAGGGCGTGAAGGAAGAAAGGGCAAAGTTGGGGGCCAAAAGGGCTTACACGATATCCCAAAACTTTAATTCATGCCTATGGCCTTGGATTTTGACTTCTCTAATGAGAATACTTGCAGTCCTGCTTTCCCTGATACTTGCCAGTGTCTGAGATTTGTAGCAAGGAACAGGTAAGAATCACTGTCCCAAGACTTCCAAGAGTAAAGCTTTGGGTAAATGAACTAAACTTTCTAAAACTCTGTTCAGCTCTCAGATAGAAATAACTTTTACCTTCTATAAGATGACTGAGAATCATTATAGTACCCATATAAAGGAAGTACTAAATGTTAAGTTTCTTCATCTTCAAAAATTGAAGATAGGCTGGGAATATAACTCAGTGGCAGAGAGTTGGCCGAGCAATCAATGTGTAAGGTCCTCAGCAGTCCCTGGCTTTGCATTTATAAATAGACTGAATCTGTAACTTTAAGCTAAAGCACGTAAAATTACCCAATTTGATTTTAGTGAAACGATTTATCAATATGGAGATAGGAAAATAAATGAAAACTCAAATCTGACAACCACAAAACTTTTTGAATAAAAACGCCATCTAGGGCCAGGAACTTAGCTCAGTGGTTTCGCCACCTGCCTTGCATGTGCAAGGTCCTGAGTTCAATCCCTGGTACCTAATAAAATAATAATAATAATGCCATCTAAACTGGGCATGGTGACACATGCCTAGAATCCCAGCACCTGAGAGGCTGAGAAAAGATTGCAAATTCAAGCCCAGTTACTCTGTGAATAAAACCCTGTCTCAACATTTTAAATAAATAAATAAATAAATAAATAAATAAATAAATAAATAAATAAATAAATAAATGGTCTGGGAATTTAAAAAACAAGGAATATAAAGAACGATGGACATGTTCCCACATTAAAACAACCAAAGTTTTTAGTACTTGTGCTTAGTTTGTCTTCTTGTAGAAACAAGGCATGGTGTTATGGCTTGTATCTAGATGTCCCCCCAAAGCCCCACGCAGTCATAGGTGGGGTTCTTGGATGTGGCTAGATCTAGTGTGTGCTGCTTGGATCAAGGATGTGATGCTAGGATTCACTGGTGCTAGGATTAAGGGTTTAAGTGCTACCTGCCCTAAAGGTGGCCTAGATAAGATATAAAGGACAGAAAGAGCTGCTGGTCACTTGCTGCTTTGGCTGTCTTCTGTCTGCCATGAACTGTCCTCCTCTGTGATGCCCTTCTGCCATCCCACCCTTGGAGCCAGCCAACTGTGGACTGAAACCTCTACAAACTGCGAGCTAAATAAACCTTTCCTCCTTTAACTTTGGTGTTGGGTACTTTGTTTCAGCAATGAGAAAAGTAACTAAACCAGAACCTGCTGGCAGGTAGGTGGGATTGTTGCTGTGCCTCTACCTGACCATAATGTTCAGGAGCCTTTGGGAATGTCTTGTGCGAGAGCTGCTGGCTGAAAAAAGTAGCCCTGGTATGCCTGAGGCTGTACTTGATGGGAGATTCAGGTCACAGCTCAGACCAGGATGCTGACAGAAATGCTTCTGATAAAGACAAGGCTCAGAGGTTTCTGCTAGGAAGGACTGAACTGGCTGATGGACTCTAGATGATGTGTGTTATGCCTTTTCTGCATCTTGCTTACATCCAGAGACTTTATCTGAGACTGAGATTAAGGGCAGAACGCCAATTAACCTGGCAAAAGAAATTTGAAGGCAGTCTAATGTTGAGGCTGCTGCATGGATACTGCTAGGGGCTTTTAGCCAGATTTATGTTGAGAATCAAGAACCAAGAACCCAGCAGAATGGTTTAAAATGTTAAGAGCTTGGCCAGAAAAGAAGCTCCAGTAAAGTTACCGCCTGCTAAAACAGAACAGAAAAGAAAATGGTGGCTAAAAAGATTAGTTAGAAAAAGCCAAGTATTTTGGAAGGGGACAACAGGACTCCACCCTTTGCAGCCTCAAAATTGCAAAATGGACTTTGAGAGCCCCAGAGCATCATGCTCCACAATGGTGGCAGCCTAGGGTATTTGTTCTTCAGGATTGGGTTCGCAGGCACTCTACTCTCATAGCCAGGAGAGAAAGACGACCAACTGACAGCAGACCTTGGCGTCATCCACAGGGTGCTGATTTTAGGTGCATGCAGAATGCATGAGTTGTGGGGTCAGGAAGGCTTCCACAAAGATTTCAGAGAAAGCTTGGGAGGCCAGGCAGCGTGCCCCTAAAAGGACAGTGTGTGAACCTGTGAGTATAAGCCAAAGGTACAGTGGAGACCCCAAAAGTTTGGAGAAGCCAGGAACATAGATCATCTGAAGAAAACTGCAAAGGAGGGAGCAGAACCAGTCCAAGAGAAAAGCCACAGGAGCTACAACCACTAGCAGTGCCACAGAGGCAGGGGCACCCAAGCCGTTTAGGGTTCACATCTCGCCTCAGATGCTAGACATGGGACTACAGAACTTAATGTTTGTCCTGCTGGATTTTGGACTTGCTTTTGCCCCCTTCCTTTGTATTCCTGTTTGTAACTGTTGGAATGGAAATGTCTATCTTGTGCCACTGAATGCTGGGAGTATTTAACTTTCTTTTCATTTGTACAGGGATTGGAAGCTAAGAGGTTGCCTTCAATCTAAGAGGAGACTTTGGACTCAGACTTTTCAGCAATGCTGGAACTGACAGGACTCCAGCAACTCTCAAGAGATGGAATAAATGCCTTTTGTATAAAGGGATGTGTGACTCTGGGGGCCAGGGGCAGGATGTTATGGTTCATGTCTGAATGTCTGTCTGTACCAAGACTCATTGGATCATAGGTAGGGCTTTGCAGAGGTGGCTGGATCTAGGCTGTGTAATACTGGGATCAAGAATGTGAATCTGAGACTGATTCAGTGCAGCCCAGATTAAGTGACAAAAGAAGATTGCTGTCGTGGCTTGCTGCCTTTTGCCTACCATGAACTGTTTCTCCTCGTAATGCGACTCCTGCCATGTCAACCGGCCTTGGAGACAGCCAACTATGATCTGAAAACTCTACAAAGTGTGAGCTTAATAAACCTTTCATCCTTTAACTTTGGGTGTTGAGTATTTTATCTTAACAACGAGAAAAGTAAAACAGTAAGAAACCTTAATATAAAAATAGTCATTCCATTTCATTACATAATTATGTTAGAACAATTAAATTAAACCAGGAGATATAAAAATCCCTGCAGCAAAAGTATTAATTCAGGTGCAATAAAACTTTGGTGATAGTAACTGCTAACCATTTAAAAATTATTCATACATTATTACAGAATTATTATCCTTAAATACTTTAGAAAATATCAGTGAAAGTAGGCAACATATGATTTTATTAATAAATAGTGCAAAAGCAACAATGATAACTGTTTAAACATTAAAATTTTTTTAAACAGCCATGTTGGCTTAAATTTGTGCATAATGGCCTCTATGGCACTGCAAATACATACATGAAAATACTCCCTATTTCCATGCACAAGTATTCAACTCTAACACTGCTTACAAATTATTATGGACAAGATAAACTGTTATAATATTGATTTAAACAGCCACAATTACATGAATATTACATTGAGTAATAACCTATGTTCAATTTACTCTGGATGTCAAGTTGTAATATTTAAAGTTACTTAAAACTTAATTCCTTCTTTCCTTTAAAGGGACACCTTTTGTGTATGTGAGTACCCAAAATAACAAAATTCACATAGAAGAGTGTTTGCCTCCTCCTCTACAAGCTTTACATTTACTCAGAATCTCTCTCTCCAGGCATCATATATCACTAACGGACACGTTTATAAGCACCAACCCCAAAATTTCATCTTAAGGGAAAGTTATAAAGTTAAAAAAGAGTAGTTCAAAAAAAAAAAAAGAGTAGTTCATTATATTAAAAAAAAGTCAAATTTCAGCAACACTAATGCTAAAAATGACAAATTCAATTTCTTAGCATCCATGAAGTATATTATTTCCATAAGTTGTCTATTATATACAGATTATTTTCTTTAAGAAGTAAAATGAAGTTTGAATAGTACAGTCTGTGGTGTGGTGACATCGGCAACTGCCAGTTCTTGTCCATCAACAAGTCCTAATTCTAAAACAGAAAAAGTATAATTAACCCAAGCAAAGCAGATCTCAACAAAAAAAATAATGATACACACATACATAAGCTAAAGAGTTTTATGGCCCTAGCTCTCTTTAAGGAAGGTTATACTTTATTTCTTGGGAGTTTTATTATTTTTCTACAAAAAGAGCAGTAAATCCTATTATTTGTAATAAGCAATCATACCTTGAACAAGCATTTACTATTTTACCAAAAAGAAAAGCCACTATTAAACATATTATTTAAAATACCTTTCAAAGTTTTGGAAAGGTTTGGCCTCGTTCGTTCTTCAATAGAGGTTACTGACTAGAAAACAAAATTATTTCAACATAAAGCACATCAACAGGAAATTAAACTTAATATAATTTTCAAAAAAAAATTTAAAATGAACACTGATCACCTGTAAGTAAAGTGTCCTATTTTTCCCTTCTAATGTAGCTGTGATAGCTGGAGATTTCATTTGCCTAAATATAATAATGAGAAAAAGCATTAAACGCAATTTTTTATTTTAAATTTTGTTTTTAAAGTTTTAAAATTTAAAAAGTAACATTCACCAAAAATCCAGAATACTTACAGAGAAGCACTACTGGTCAGATAATCCAAAACCTCCTGTAATCGAGCTGACGGAGAAAACTGAATGTTTTGAGGAAGCTGGCTACAAGCTGGGCAGCTCTCCTATGTACGTAAGGCACAGCCAGTTACACAGGCGCGTGATCTGACACTAGTCTCTTTATAGACAAATAAATGTGCATGTTTCCCATAAGTTACCTTATGCTTTAAAATCCATCTGTCCTAATAAAACACTTCTTCTACATTATTTTGCTACAGGGTATTTATTGTATGCTATACAGTAAAAGACATACATTAGGTAGCGGTCTGAGAGTTAGAAAATAAGACGCTTAGGGTATGGGTAATTTTCTTCAAAATTTTAAAGCGTAATTAACATTTAAAAATTAAAATATGCATAACCAAAAACATTTTCATTAAGTATTACTAACCTTTCTCTCTGCTTCAAATGTGTAAGTGTATAGCCCATCCACATCATTGAATACCAAGTAATTATTAAGGGGAATGTATGCACTGTAATAGAAAACATTCATCTTTATATAGGTCAAGTAAAAACATGAATTTACATACAACTTAGTAAACATGAAATTCATTACCTTGTGGCTATTTTAAAAACCTCTGTGGCACACACAGCTGAAGAGGGAAGAAAAATAAAGGTGTTTTAACTCAATGAAAAATAGACATTTAAGAAGTTTAATTCAGAACAAATTTATAATGGCTACTGACTAAAAATAATTTTAAAAACTCCTCTAACATTTTTTAAAACTGAGAAAATGAATTTTATACAATATTTGTTTTGTGTTATCCATGCAAAAAAATAATTTACATGGTTTTCTTCTTTATCACTTTAAGGAACAGCTTATTATGCTGATTAAAAAGATATGTTACTAAAATGTCCCTTTTATAGCACTTTAAGATATAATGCAAGACAAAAATACAGAAGATCTAACAGCTTTTTCTTTTTTGGATATCAATATTACTGAACTTACTCAAGAAGATATAAAAATCTTAACACACAAGGACAGCAAGAATGTCAATTTAAACAATGAATCAAAAACCAAAGGAAAGAAAGTAACACTGAGAGAAGGCCTTTTTCCCTTACCTGCAATGACTGCATTTGTGGAAGCTACTGCCGGAATGATTCGTTTTACTACCCCTGAAAAAATTTATCAATTAAAATAGTCATTTCCTTTACAAAATAGTTATCTTAAATAAAGCTATAATCATTAAATACCATTTTCTCATTTTACAGTACTGGGGATTGAGCCCAGGGCCTCACAAATGCTAGGCAAGTATAACACTGAGCTTCATCCCTAGCCTCTAAATAACATGTTCTGAAACCTAATTTTTTAGGCTTTCCAGTCAGAAGTGTAATCATGAAACAATCCTCTTTCACCTTCCCATCATTTTTTTTGTAGGAAGCTAAGAATCTTAAATTACAGTGACAAAAGTAAAAATTTTTCACCTAACCTAATAATCCATGTTAACTGTGTTCCAGGTATGTAAAATACTATTTAATTTTCATAAAAATCTGTGTTAATCTACTGTTTAAAGGTAAGGAAAATGAGACTGAAAGAAGTTTAAGAACACATCCATACTTCCGTACCTCCTAGCTGGGGGTGTTTTATAAACCCAACTATGTCTCAAAGTGCATAATTTTGTTTAGTTCAGATAGGTTTCCCACATATAACTCAAGCTGACCTCAAACTTATTATTTAGCCCAGGAAAGCCTCACGCTTGCAATCTTCCTGCCTCACCCTCCCAAGTGTTGGGTGGCAGATGTGCACCACCACAGCAGGCTCAAAGTGCATGATCTTAACTGATAACATGATGTTACACTCAGAAGTTTTTAAAACAGCCACAAGGTGATGAATTTCAATGTTAACATGTTGTATGTAAATCCACAGTTTGAGCATGAAGACTGTTATCTAATTACTCCTCCAGATTCACATATTCAATTCACAAAAATTCACAACACAAAAGAAAAATATCCTTTTGAAACTGAAATATTACTGTTTTTGTTTTTGAGACAGGATCTCCATATGTATTTCAGGGTAGCCTTAAATTCATTATATAGCCCAGGCTGGCTTTAATCCACTTGCCTCAGCCTCCTGGGTGTTGGGATTACAGGTGTGCACCATCAGGCCCAGCTCAGAAACCTGTTGTTTAGGAAGAACCTTTCTTTTATTCTACAACCTGAGCTATACAAAATATTAAGCACAGCGCTCTACTTCAACCCCACATTTTTAACATCAATATTCACATATCAGGAATGTACAAAGCCTAACCATTTTTAAAAGCACAAGATAGGGGCTAGGATTTAGCTCAGCGGTTTTGCTGCCTGCCTCACAAGCACAATACAGTAGACCTTTAACTTATGAACCCAATTTGTTCACCAGGGTTGGTTGTAACTCAAGTTGGTCAATGAAGGCTTGGGCTCCTCTACACAGCCTTCAAGGTCTTTCTCCTGTACACAGGCAGATGTGTCCTTAGAGAGACACTGGTCCAGGGTCTCTCAATGAACCTCACCCAGAAACGGATGTTGTAATGCTCCTTCCAGAATGCTAAGGATTACATCTGTATCTGGAAGCATAAGCAGCTGGCATTCAGGTCATAACTCAAGACTGTTTGTTAGCAAAAACTGAAATTCCAGTCGTAACCCAAGTTGTTCGTATATCAGCTTGGTCATAATTCAAGGATCCAGAAACCAGACAAATGGCAGATATTTTTAAAAAACATGAAAAGAAAAAGAGCTAACAAGATTGGAAACCTTTTTTTTTATAAAGCTAATTCTGACCATATGACTATATACAGTGTTAGAGAAGGAGATACTGAGAAGAATGATCCTCCCGATAGTAAAACTGGAAGGGCTCCAAGTGAACTACATCTAGCAAGATGTACTAAAAGGAGGAACAGGTAGTCACAAACAGTAATGAGCAGTGAAGTAAGTACCTGTTCTTACAGAACTATCATTTTGGTGGGATAGAAAATATACAAATAAATATATCAGAATTTCAGATATTGAAGGGTTAAATATAGAAAAGTAAATGACGTGTGTGACATGAGTGACAAGAGGAGACACAGTCCATTTGATATTATCAGGGAAGGCCTTTGATAATTTACACTGAAACTTACACCGTCAGAAGGACCCAGCCACGCAATAACCTGGGGAAAGAGCATTTCTGCAAACACTAATGGCAAAGGTCCCGGGTATAAATGTGAGATATTCTTCACATTAAAAAAAAGAACAATATAAGGCCGGGCATGGTGGTGCATGCCTGTAATCCCAGCATTCGGGAGGCTGAGGCAGGAGGATCGCTGTGAGTTCCAGACCAGCCTGGGCTACATAATGAGTTCCAGGTCAGTCTCAACTACATAGTGAAACCCTGTCTCAAACAAACAAACAAACAAACAAGAACAATATGATAAATTACTGCTGAGGAATTATTTTAAAAAGTAAAACAATGAATGGTTCAGAAATCATTTTAGGTTAACTGATTAGGAAAACTGGTTAACTAGATACTTGAAGGGTAAGGCACAACCTTGAAGCAATTCAAGCAAAGAGTTTTCCAAGCACAAGAACAAGGGAGTATTAAAACTCTGTGATGCAAATGAACTTGATATATTCATGGGACACAAAGTAGGTCAATGGATGGGAGAACAGTGAGCAACAAGCATGGCCTATGGCAGATTCACAAAAACAGAAATAAGTCCTTCCAGGGAACTTGCTGACCCATCGTGGGCAAAATTTTAGAAAGGATGAGAGACAACTAGACTGAAGTAGTGATCACTATGATTGAGCAATAAAATTGTTCACTGAGACAGCTTAAACTGGACTAGCACAGCAACTCAGGACACTGTGGAAGAAAGTGTATCTACGTTTCAGTAGAGCATCTGGAAAAATCTTTCATACATCCTTGTGAGCAAGACAAATGAAGGACTCAAGAAGGTCTGATTAAAGAGTAAGGCAAATCTAAAAGGGCCTGAGAAGAGGTGTGATCCAGAGGACTTTTCCAAAACAGTGGAGTTTTATGAAAAATTTTAGTCAGTTATTCTCAAAATGAAAAGAATATGATCATCAAAACAATAGGTCAAACGAAGTTGGCACAAGAATACCGACAGAAAAAACAGCAAGCTGAATGTTAAAAATAAATCTGTAAGAACTTATACTTGGGTATAAAAAACAGTATAACACCCTCAATACTGCCAAGTCAGCGATGTGACTTAGCAATTGCATAGGCGCAAAAAAGTACAGATGTTAGCCCACAGGAACACCAAATAATCAACAGTATAGTAGCATCAATGCAAATAATAATTAAGAATGAAAATACTCGCTCTCCTTTAAGACTATCAATTATCAGAAGTCAGATCTAAAGACCAATTCAAGATTGCTACCTTCTGGCCTAGTTAAAACAAATACGGATATCTGGACTAGGGTCACAGAAAAATGGTAAGATGAGAACTTGAAGTCATGCAATATAGCAAAGGGCTAAAGGAACTAAGCAGGCCTAAGGCAAGGATAAAAATGCAACAGAAGGTAACCACTGTCCTCAGTGTTAAAAGGTGTTACTCAAAAGAGAATAAGAGTAATGGAACAAAATTCAACATTACAGTAGAGATCTCTGCTCAATATATATAGTAAAAATCTAACACTCTTATGCAAATATGAAATACACTACATCCAAGAGGTAATACATTTCTCTTCAATGAAATATTAACTGGTGGGTTGGACTTGGATGACTTAGGGACTCTTTCAATCCTAAATAAAATTTAATGATTTTATTAAATTCCCCCCAGATGATGGGCCAGGGAGGTAGCTCAGTGGTGTCACACCTGCCTGGCAAGCACAAAGTCCTGAGTTCAATTCCTGGTACCAAAAAAAAAAAATTCCCCCTAATGAGAAGTAGCGTGGATTTTGCTGAACTTGGTTCCCACCTACTTTAGATTAATCTGGAAATATTTCCATGATATCTTCACTGATCCTAACTTAGCAGTTATTCTCCTCTAAGTATCTCAAATCCTTTAAAAAGAGATTATATCAGGATCTTGATTCAGGACAGTTCAAAAAATTACCTTGAGTGAGTCTATATGTAACACCTCTAATATTATATTGTGATGCTCTCTCTACAGATTTTTTAAATATCCACTGAATATGTTCCGGATCATCTCCATCTAGTGGAACCCCTTCTGTTAGAAAAGAAAAGATCATAAAGCAATTTTTAATGTGTAATATAGAAAATACATACTTTAAATAATTCTGCATTATTAAATTAGGTTTATTACCTCCAAAAGGCTGTTCTTTAGGCCACTGCAACATCCTTACATACTCAATACAATGCTCTGGTAGCCTGGGCATGGATGCAATGGTGCACATGGGAAAATTAACCTAAAACCAAATTTTGTCATTTTTAGTGACTTTTAAGGAATGGATTTTTAAATGCAATTTCTAGTTGCTATTTAGTTTGTAGCACTTATAATTCATCTCAGACATCGACTGATACAAGCAAAGCACGGTGTACCGTTAAAAACACCTCCGAAACTAACAGGGAGCACCTGAGTCACCTAGGTTGCTATAAACACAGGCTGCCCTACTTTTTTTTGGGGGGGTACTGGGGGTCAAACTTGGGACCTTGCACTTCCAATGCCCTGCATTTTTAAGGTACATAAATTTAAGCTTTGTTAGACCACAGAAAAATGGTGAATAGATTGTCAAATGTTTATCTGATATTTAAAAATGACAGTATAAGACAAACTAAAAAAAAGCAAATTTATAGATCTCAACTATCAGACTCCTCATATAAAATTATTTAATTCATAATCCAAAATTTAAACTGTCCTTTAAAATAGATTAATAAGCCTCATCTTTAAAAACATCAATCTCAATCAATACCAATGCCTGGTATTTTTATTTCTAAGATAAATACGGTAATTTTCCCTTGTATCCCTTGGAGAGCTACATTTCAAGGACCCCCGACAGATGCCTGAAACCATAGTTAGTACCAAACCCTGTATGTACTGTTTTTCTCCTTGCATAGACTTTTTTTTTTTTTTTTTTTTTTTGTATGTGGGATCAAACTCAGGACCTTGCACTTGCTAGGCAGGCACAGTGCCACTGAGCTACATCCTCGGCTCCCTGTACTTTTCCTTAAACTAAAGTTTAATTTCTAAATTAGATATAGTAAGAGAATAACAAAAATTAACAATTAAAATATACTATAATGAAGTTATATGAATGTAGTCTCAAATTTTCATTGTATAAAAAAATATATCAATGTACTATAGATCTTAGCAACCTCATCTTACAATTCTTGTTAGTTTCCTTATTACGTCAAGAATTTTCACCTTTTCACTTGAAGCACTTTATAGTCTCTCTTTGATCTACCCAAACTGCCAGAATCACTGCTTCTATGATTTGGAGCCATTATTAAGTAAAATAAGCATTACTGCAACACAAGCACAGTTATACTGTGGCATTCAATGTGATAAACAGACAACTACTAACTGATTAATGGGCAGGAAGCATACTCAACAGGGATGGCTTACATGCTGGGCAGAGAACAGAGTGGGACAGAGAGAGATTTCTACTATTCACCTGGCAATCAACCTAGAATACATGGAGTATTTCTGGGATCTTTCATTTAATATTTTTAGAGCATGGCTAATTAAAACCATGGAAAGCAAAATATCAGGTGGAGGAAGGGGCTACTGTGTAGGTGAAAGCCAAATATATCTCCATCCCAATCAACAGCTCCATAATTCCCTTTGATTCCCACTCAAATAAAAAATTAACAAAGTAAAAAACCAGAAAAGTATCAGACTTAGGATACGCAGTTCCGGTCTTCCTTCAAATAGAACAGAATTTATTTCACCTGTCTTTTTAGTATAATTGTTAAATCTACTAACTTTGGGGGTTGCTTATTTGTTTGTTAAGGGTGCTTTTTTTTTTAGTGCCAGGGATTGAACTCAGGACCTTATGCTTACAAGGCAGGCGGCTGCACCACTGAGCCAAATTCCCCAGCCCATTAAGGGTGTTTTTTAATGTTTGCTTTCTTTTTTTTGGGGGGGGGTTTATTTGTGTGCTAGAGAATGAACACTGGGCCTCATACATGTTAAGGACATGCTCCACTACTTTTTGTTTGTTTTTTGAAACAGGCTCTCACTATGTAGTTGAGACTGACCTGGAACTCACTGTGTAGCCCAGGCTGGTCTCGAACTCACAGCAATCCTCCTGCCTCAGCATCCCGCGTGCTGGGATTACAGGCATGTGCCACCACGCCCAGCAATGCTCTACCATTGAACTCATAGTATACAGTAATCTTAAATATATATTTAACCCTATTAAAAATCCTAAATATTGACTAAATGCAGTAATTCAACTGTAACTCTAACCCAAGGTGCTATAATAAAAATGCAGTTACTTTTCTCATTACCTGTGGTGGATAAAGTTCCAGTGTACATTCAATGCAAGCAGTCATTCCAGGGAGAATCACCCGAGCATTTCCTTTAAAACCTTCTGTACCCCCATCTATCATAGGGACAATGGAGCTTGGATCTAACACACCATCTTCATAATTGAGAAGAGATATCTAGAAAATGTTTTAAAGAGTTTAAATAGAAGAGTTGAAAATTGAAAAAAAAATAAAAAATAAAAATAGAAAACAAAGCAGTCTGCTTCCAAGTAATTCTATGAGTCTTGCTACTAATATATCAAAATCAAGGGATTATATTAACAATTTGTGTCCTCACCTGATAAAGCCTGTAAACAAATAGTGATACACGTCTACTTAACTGAAAATTAAATGTCTTCAAAAATATGATCTATAATTCTGATTTTTGGTATATCAAAGAGCAGTAGCAATAACTTCAGAGACCCATAACTAAAGTCTTTACCAGCATTCCATTTATCCATCTTCTGGCTATAATAGAGTCCAGTCCACAAACAATAATATGGAATTCTATAAGAAAAAATAACAAGTTTAGTTTTTAAAAATGTGGTTCCCTATATTTTAATGTAAGCTGTAACAAATGTACCACTCTGATGTGGGACACTGATAATAGGAAAGTTGGGGTGTGGGGGCACATGGAACTCTGAAAAGTATGTGTATTTCCCAGTCAGTTTTGCTATGAACCTAAAATTGCACTAAAAATAAAGCTTATTAATTAAAAAAGCAGTTACATTAAGTAATTCCCACTTTTTTCTTTTTTTTTTTTTTTTTTGGTACCAGGGATCAAACTCGGGTCCTTGCACTTGCAAGGCAGGCAGTGGAACCACTAAGCTAAATCCCCAGCCCTATAATTCCCACTTTCTAAGAAACAAATAAAAAAGTACATTTCATTGTTCTAAGTTCTCTTTCTTGTAGCAATTCATATTTAAGCATAGAAAACTACAGGAAATGGTATTGATTAGGAATCAAAATGACATTCTTTTTTCAGGCAATAAAATAACTGAAAAGCCAACCCTCCCATAGGAAATCAATTCAAAAAATAGCCTTCAAATAGTTAGTAATCTTCAAAAAGGCAGCACCTAAAAGTAACTAAGAATTTACAGTGCAATGTTACATGAAAAACTTACGTCGATAGAATATGTCATTAAAGTCTTGAATCTTGTTGAAATGTCTGAATATTAGTTAAGGATATTAAACTGCACAGTTTTTAGTTTCTAAATGAATTTACCATTGCCATGGGGAACAAACTATGTATTTAAAACAAGAAGTAATCAATGTTTGCCAGGGATTTAGCTTAGTGGTTCTGCCACCCGCCTCACAAGTGCAAGGTCCCGAGTTCAATCCCCGGTACAAAAGAAAAAGGTTATCGATGTTCAAGGCAGTGGAATTCAAGTGTGACAAAATGAAAACAACTCTACTTTCTGACAAAAATCCTTTCCCATCATTCCTTTTCGGCCTATCTAAATTTTCTCGCCCTTCAACACCCATTTCATATTAATGTTCCTGTTAGGAGCTACACCTTCTACTTTGCTTTAGGTTTTATATAAAACCATAAACTTTGACAATGGAGAATGTTATATAGTTTTTACAGAGTGAAGGCAACAAGCATGTTATAACTTCTATCCAACTCTGTGATTTTACATTACTACAAAGCTAAGAAAAAAAAATACGGAAAATTTCAAGAGCTTTTCCTATTGCTACTTCATTTCTATTAGTTTTTCTGGAGGGAAAGAAGAGTGAGGCAGACACTTTTTTCTACCTCTCATTTACCTAAGTTTCAAGCTTCTTTTTACAAACCTACCAGACTCTGTCAGCAGTCTTCCTATGCTTGGAGGCTGAAAAGGGAACTTCATTCAAAACTGGCTTGTAGTAATCAATCATTGCTCATAACCATTTGTTTTTTTTTTTTTTTTTTTTTTTTTTTTTA